GACAGGGCCGGCCCGGAGGCAAACGGGGGCAGGACAGGGCCGGCCCGGAGGCGTGGGCGAGACCACGCCCGCCCGACGGGTCAACACTGGGTGGTATCGGCAGCGTTCTCACGGGAGCCCGGTTCTCAAGATGACGCTTATCAATCATCAGCGTCACGGACGCCCTGCGAGTCCGCAGCTGGGGCAGAGGCCGGCGCCAGGGGGAGAGGCTCACTCCTCGGCCGCGGGGGAGCGAAGCCGTGGGGGGCGAGGGAGCCCGTGTGAGCCGCCGCGGCGCAGACACGACCTCCCACAGGGCCCGGGCAGGAGGGCGCCGTCCCCGCCCAGGCTGAGTGCCCGCAGACGCGCCGGCTGGGCCTGAGATGCCCGCGCAGCGTCGGGCAAACCCAACCACCATCCCCATTCCCGGACTCCAACGGCAATGCGACCACGTTCCAGAAAACAGGGAAACACGAAAAAGGAAGCAGGAAAAAACCCAAACGGTCCAAATGCCGGCACATTTCCCGACGGTCTCTTTTCTCTTTAAATCGTCCCTAAGATCATGCTGCCCGTGACAGTTTTTAAAGATGCACAGAAGCCCGTCTGCAGGTCACCGGCGGCGAGCGCGGGGCGGGACAGGCATTGCCAAGCTCACCGCCTCCTGCCCGGTGACGCCCGTCTCCCCCGTGACAGGAACTGGGCTTTTGTTCCATTCAGCTCTCGGTGCTGGAGACTTTTCTCTCGGATCGTGTCTACGTCTCCATGTTTAGCAATCGCTCCTAACGTGCCTGGACGCGTCACCCGAAACGCAGACTAAAGGGTGGTCCGCGGGTGTCTGCCGAGAGCGTCCAGCGAGAAGCCAGGAGGCGTCCCCGGCCCGGTGCTCCCGGGGCTGCTGCGTCCAAACAGACCTGCCCCACGCGTGCGCCTCAGAAACAAGGCGACCGGACGCCCAAGGCCCCGACGTGTTCTCACGGTCAGCCCTGAGCCCGGGGGGCCGTGTGGGCCGAGCGCGTCCCCACCCCTCACGCGTGCGGCCGAATCGGAGCCCAGCTGCTCGTGACGCGGCGAATGGTCCCGAATCCACGCACGATGGCACCTTCTCTCTGACGGGTTTTTCTCAACATTGAATTTTCTCTCCTTCGCCTCCCCCCAAGCAGGCAAATCTTGAAACTATTCCTGGTCTTACTAGAGAACTGACATTATATCATAAAATACGTGTTTTAAAAAGTGAAATTGTTCAGAGGACATTTACATAAGATTTTTATAAACGCTTCTGTGGAAAAGGAGGCGAGCCCCACTCACACGTCTGAAACACTGGAGGGAAAAATGAGAGGCTCTGACACCGTCTGAGAAACGGGTTTTCTTCCCCCACAAGACAGCCGAACACTGGACACGAGGCAACGGTCCCGGGGCGTTTGGATCTCGGCCCAGACGCTAGAGTTTTAAACCCGATCAGTCAAAAATGTGAAACACAGAAAACGACCCCAGGATTCAGGGACCTGGGAGGGAGGGCGGACAGGCCGGCGGACGGTCAGCTCGGGCTCCCAGCTCTGTCCCTAGCACGAGCCTTCCCGGGGGGGGGTTTAATGATCGTATGATTAATTTTACCACCAGCGTCTCATTTAGACGAGTGCCTGACCTCGCGGGTGGTGGGTTGTTTCGGCGGCGGCATCGCGGCCCCTTTGGAACACGGTGGGACCCGACGTTCTCGCCTTTCTCACTTTGAAGGACTGTAATTACCGTGACGCAGGTGGGCGGGCGTCCTGCGCTTCCGGCCCAGCTGGCGATTGCGCCGCTGTGTCTGCACGGTCATTTCCCCCGGCTCTCAGTGACTCCGGGGCGGTAATTTTTTGTTTCGGAATTTGTTCCCCTGTGGGTTTTGCCTCCCTGAGCGACAGGCGGTCCGGGGCCCTCCCCTCCCCTCCTCACTGTCCAGACCCCCGGCCTCGGCCCCTGTGCCCCCCACCGGCCTGACGGCTCAGCGCGGGGACCACTGGCCGTCCCTCCCGTGCAGGTGAGGGGCAGGCCGCAGGCACGTGGGGAGGGGACAGGTGCCACGTGGCCCGGCCCGGACAGCCCCGCTCAGTGGACGCCTCTGAAAGGACCGGGCGCCGAGTGGGCTGCGGGCCTGGGCCTCGGTCCCATGGGTGTGTGTCTGGGGCAGGAGGCCCTGGCGTCTTGTCCGGTGACCCGTCTGTTTGAATTTGGCAAATTCTGTGTGGAAATGCTTAGTTTATTACATATTAATTCATTAATCTCGTGAAGGCAGCTCACTAGCTAAATAATTTAAGTTGAATACATTTTTCTAATATCCCAGCAACACGATTATCAGGAGCAAGCGAACGCATCCGACACCAGGCTATGGTCACGCTCTTCAGCCCGAGGCAGTGTCTGCCAACCGGCTCTGATCCCCGAGAGGGTGCCAAGGTCGTCAGGCAGCCTGACCAGGTCTCAGCAACGCACCCACGGGCCCGGGGCGTGTCCCGTGGTCCCAGCCGCATCCCTGGTCACTCAGAAAACAGTGGGGGGCAACTGGTTACCCACAAAATTAACCCGGATCCCAGCCTTCCTCACATCTTATGAAAATACCTCTCATAGGCTTTAGAGATTTAAAGTGAAAAACCTCAAGAACAGTTCGAAGAAAGTAAAGCAGCCGCCTTGACGTGCTTAGGATGAGAAAGGGTTTCGTACAGCATCCTGAAAACACACACGCGATGGGGAGACGTGGACCCACATTTGCTGCCCTGAAGTTCTGTTCATCGAAGACGCTGCAGGTGGAACAAAACACAAGCTGCAAACAGAGGAGGGTTTCGGCTCATGACGGAGGAAATGCTGGCTCCGCCCGCAGGTGAGGCACCTTCCGCGCAAACGGTCAACGGCGAGGACGGCGGCTCCCAGGGGAGAACCCGGGGCAGCCCGAGGAAGGGAAGCGGGTAAACCGAGTCACGACAAAGAGACCCTGACCCCGGGGGCGGCCATTGTGCACCCACTAAGTTCAAAAGGTTAAGTCTCCCCCATTTCTTTTTAAAGTTTTGGTTTACTTATTTGTTTTCAATCCTCACTGGAGGATGTTTTTTCCATCGCTTTTCAGAGGGGGGGAGAAACATCCACGTGAGAGACACTGACTGGCTGCCTCCTGCATGGCGCCCACCAGGGCCCGGGACGGAGCCTGCAACCGAGGCAAGTGCCCTTGGCTGGAACCGAACCTGAGACCCTTAAGTCCACGGCCGATGCTCTAACCACCGAGCTAAACCAGTTAGGGCTAGGTCCATTTTTTAAAAAAAGTTTTCTTTAGTATGTTTTTATTGATTTCAGAGAGAGGGAGGAAGAGGGAGAGAGAGACATCAGCTGGCTGCCTCCTGCACGCCCCCCACTGGGGACCGAGCCTGCACCCCAGGCCTGTGCCCTGCCTGGGAACTGCGCCCTCGGCCTCCTGGTTCATGGGTCGACGCTGAGCCACTGAGCCACACCAGCCGGTAAGTCCCCAGAACACCAAGCTTGGGGGGCGCATGGGACTCTGGACGTCCTGGGCTGCCAGGCGGGAAAGTGGGTTGGACACTTGTGCAGCGACGTCATTATTGTGAAAATAAATGCAGCGTCTTTAGCACCCAGACGTCACCCCTGGGTCCCCACAGCCAACAGGTGCTCACAGGCATGGTCACAACAAACCAACCAGAAAACAAGTCAAATGTCCCTCGGGAATTAATAATTGATAAATAAAATGTAGTATATTCACACCAACACCATACATATAGCAAAATATGTATGTCAGGCCCACACACAACGTGTGTGGATCTTCAAATCAGAACAGCACATAAAACCGTAACTCCCGGCAGGTGTGACAGGATATTTCAAGCTCAAAACAAAAAGAAACGGTGTATTTCAGGGACCTATGCGGATAAAGCCATATTTACTCTCAGAGGATGAGAAAGCCCAGATTTGGGACCGTTTCCCGCTGGGCAAGCAGAGAACAGGACACAGGAGCGACGTGCAGACGGCGAAAGCGGCGGCCGCCTGATCACTGAGCGGAGCGAGCGCCCGGGCAGCTGTGTTGTTACTTTGTTTCATAACTCACAGAGACGCCAGATGCAGTTTTTAAGAATGAAGAACCCTATTAAAGGCTAGAAATGAAAAGGTACATTTTAACAATGTGCTGCAGAGACAGGAGTCTCTCTCCAGCTCCACGTGCGGGTCAGACAGGCGGCCTGATGGTGCAGCTGGGCCTGACCCCTTAAAATGTCTTTTACAAACAGCTGAGGGGTCCTAGGCTGGGTCCGCTGCCGGCTCGGTGGGTAACGGGCAGTGCGGGGCCACACAGGTCTCCCAGGGGAAGAGTGGGAACCTGGCCAAAGCTCCCGGCAAGCGGACGGCACGACACGTCTTCCCTGCTTTCTACTGATTCGGAAATGACCCAGCGGCGTCCCTCTCGCGTGAGTCTGACGGGCGCTCCCTGGAAACGGCCTGCGGTGGCTCCTGCGCCAGTGCCTTCCCCTCCTGTGCTCGCCCAGCTGCCCTCAGCTCAAAGCACCCACAGCAGGAGCACAAGGTGTCCACATGGAATAAAAGCCAGTGGGCCAGCTTCCTAAATCCTGATTTTAGGTGTCCCTCTGACAGGGTCGCCCACCGGGCAGTGCTGGGCACAGGCTTGTTCATCCCACCCAGCACGTGTCAGCGGTGGGCGGAGGCCCCTAAGTTAAGCGTAAGGAGAAGCCGCTTACTGTGTTGCTGGCTGTCCCGTTCAGGTGCAGGCCGCTGTCGAAGAGGGGAGAGGAGGCCCCGCTGCTGCGGTTGCTGGGTGGTCCGGGGGACCCTGCGGACAGAACAGAGGCGGTTTCCACACAGAGCTCCAGACGACCCCCACTGCGATCACAGACGCCCCCGTCCCCAAGGACATCCCCGAGGACAGATGCCCGGCCCCTCTTGGAGAAGCCAGTGCCCTGCCATGGCTGTGCCACCAAGCTGCCCCTCACTCCCTGCATGGGCGTGTGGCATGTGGCATGTGGCGTGTGGCATGTGGCCAGCTCACTGACCAAGTGCCACGCGCGACAGGAGGCAGGGAGGCCCACACTCAGGGGCGGGGTCCACACTGGCAAAGGCTCTTACACCCTCACAGTGTGAATTCGCCAGAGGATTTTTGCCTGAATTATGAGGAGATTTGGCCACTGCGCTTACATTTTTATGGATACTAACTAAGCTTTTTACACTTGTGTGTTATTGCAAAGAACCAAATAAAAGAAAAGCAGACATTCCTTGAACTGATAGAGAGCTCGGGGTCCCTGCCCGATACGAACCTAGGAGACGGGTCTCACGTGGTTTAAGCACCAGGTGATGGCTGACCCTCCTCCTGGTTGTGTGGGCACCTTTCAAGCAAAGCTGACCGCTGCGCAGCTGGCCTTGCTTGTCCCGCAGGCCAGGCAGGAGCCAGCTGACCGCCCGGCCGCGTGCAGCACAGAACCACCCGCCCCGCACGAGGCTGGGGCACCGCAGGGCAGGTTTCTGCTACATTCTTTCTACGTGAAGCTTCTCAAGCCAGCAGGGGACTTTTAAACACAAACTTTGTCTCTGAATATGTGCCACGTGTGTGAATATGGACACATAACCTCAGTGAGCTGACTATAAAAAGGAAACAGTTACTTAATCAGCAACGCGGCCCGGAGACCGCATCCTTTCCAGAAGCCTGTCCACGCCTAAAACGCAGACGTCTTAGGAAGGCGTCACGCGGGCCTGTGTCTTTCTCTGAACATGTGCTCCATGGGTGCCACGTGCCACGGTCAAGAGACGTGGGCAGCGTGGGGCACCACGTGCCAGAGGACGTCCCCCTTACCTAGCGGCAGCTTCAGAAACGAGGGCGCTTCCCTGAGATACTCGACCGTCATGGTCACTTCATCCCCAGCATTTCTCAAAAGGTGCACCTGCCGATGAAACAAAGAACAGCTGCGTCACCATCACAGGAGGGCCAGGTGCCGGAGTAAAAACCCAAATCTCGCCCACAAGCCTGCTTCTTAAGAACTCGGGGCTGGTGGTTACCTCTGACGCACAGAGGGCCAGGCTGATGCTGCGAGGACGGCCCGCCCGGGCTCGTGGAGTCACCTCCGGGCGACACCGAGCAGCCAGCCTGGGCTACGTTCCTGCTCCCACCTGTCTCCTCGCCTTTGATCTGACCGCTGGGGACACGTGCGAGGCTGGGCCTCGCGCCAGCGGCTCCTCCTCAGTGTCCTCTCAACAGACCGGGGTGGGGGCCTCGCCGAGGAGACCCGTCAGCCTGAGGGCCACAGGAGCACGTCCTCCGTGTTGCGAGCCACGCTGTGTGCACGCGGCGGAGCTGCTGTCGTGGACGCCTGGGCTGCTCCCATCCATCCCGGCCCCTCCCCGCTCTGTCTGGAGCAAGGGCCACTCTTCTGGCCACTGTTTGCCTCAGGACCCTCATCTCTGACGTGGGGATGGGACCCACCAGAGAATCACCAAGGTCTTTCCAAATTTCACGTTTTTAAAACACGTTCAGTTCAGAAAGTTAGGATTTATCACCATTTCCTCTGCTCACTGATTATCACAGAGTTTACACTTGAAATAGGACTTGATCCTGAAATTATTTTTTGAGTCGCTAATATTATTCCATCTATTAAAAAACATGAGCGAGCCCAAGAAAACTCACATGACCAGTTTATTTAAAACTCCCCCTTTTAAAACACGGCTACTATTTTAGTCCTTTTTACTGTATTATTAAAACACGAGAAACTTGCAACTAATTGACTCTCTTCAGGATCGTAATCAGGCCTGTGTTATCTCCGGGCGCCTCCGAAGCTTCGTCTTCCTAAGTATAAGGAGCGGGGGCTTTTTTAGACCATCTGTGAAGCGAATAACCGCCTTCCCGCCGTCTTACTAGGCAACGCGGGTTTCATGCCACATGCTTGCCGCTGACACATACCTTCTGCGTCAGCGCACGTCGGTGGGGCTCCGTGGCCCCTGCGCACGCTTCTCAGCTGCCGGGTGGCCCTCGTGCCTGGAATCCCAGCAAAGTGGGGGAACACTGTGTTACCCTCTAAAAGTCTTGTCCCCTTCTGTCCGCACGTTTCAGAGCCAGCGAGTGCCTCGGGCTGAGGCGGGTCTGCTCCTCGCGGAGGCCTTTCTGACAGGGACGCGTCTTGGGGGCGGCTAAGAACTTATCGAATGGATTGAAATTCAAGGATATAAATCAGTGTTGACGAACAGAGCAGGAGGAGCCCGAGGGGGCAGAACGGCTTATGGGAAAACCGGGTCGCCTGTCTGGGTCACCACAACGGGTTTCGAATGTTACCTCCGTCCTGTTACAGCCCCACCGACTCGCCAGGTCCGGCACCGTCCCGATGCTGGGCAGCAGGTCCCTGCAGAGCCGTGCAGCTCGGG